TACGGTTTATCTGTTCGTATAATGTAAATTATGTATAGTTAGTTCAGTAGTAGGTTAGAAATTTTATTTCAACCAGAATCAGTGTCAGAAAAAGTTGAAAATTACAAAATTTTTCAGAATTCTGATAGCTCGAGCCTTATTTTAGCTAGAATAAGTGATTCAAAATCAAGGAATGGAAGCTGTTAGGCTTTTCAGTATTGTTGTTTTCAATTCAAAACGCAATTGCACTTTTTCTTTGTCTATGTTGTCGCGATATATGAGCAAATATTTTTGTTTCAAGATTACCAAACGAAGGTACTTTCTTCTCAACCATATTATCACGGATTTTAGAGTAGCCAGACTCTTGGGCTTTCCATCGACGTTATCGGACCATGTTTCGACCTAGTAACACTAAAGCAGTTGATGTGAAAATAACGTAAATGTGAGATGTAGAAAGAAAACGATTGAGAACCTTGGAAACGCAACGAATATTAATCTTTACTGGATGATTTTGGAGTTTTTATCTCATTATTGGCTGTCAATAGTATAAAGTTGTAGCACTGTACGTTCGCGAAGTGTGCAGGCTTGAGGAATTGGTTACTAGCTATCGGCATTGTTTAGAAAAACATTATAGCGTCAAGATGGCGGATTCCAGTACGATTGATTGCACTTTTTTGCATTCATGTGATTCTTGTGCAAATAGTCTCCATTACGAACCTGCTTCGGCGTAGCAGTAAGCGTATGTCGCGTATATCAGCCTATCTATAATGATTGTCTTTGATTAGGCACATTACAGTTGATGCGGTTGATTCGCTTGATCCACTTCGCTATTGACCATTAGCGAAGTGGATGAAGTGGACATCCGCCTCGCAACTAGTCAGTTCCCTGATTTGACCTAGCGGCTTGGATGAAGTCGACCAAGTATCGCGCGTGCCTTAGGCACTCAGACAGAGTTTATGCGATCTCATTGCCGCGATTTCCCAGCAAGACAAACAGTTACGAGTCTATTGCATGTCGATCATCT